CAAAAAGTGATACTATATTAGGTGGTACCGAGCTCCAGAAATTATGTTGAATTCCAAGGGGTACACGAAATCCATCGATGTATGGTCGGTGAGTGCCTTAATTTCTTTAGTTTTGCTCACACCATTTTTCTTTTATTGTCTTTATCATCTTAGCTCTAAAAATGAAGTCGCATTCAGGTGGGGTGTATACTTGCTGAAATGTTAAGTAATCGCCCGCTCTTCCCTGGTAAACACTACCTCGATCAGTTGAACCTCATACTCGCAGTCGTAGGATCCCCATCGCAGGAGGATTTACAGTGCATCATTAATGACAAGGTGAGTGACAGCCTAATGATATTAACGCCAGCATCCAAGATTGTCAATTATGTCTAGAGTAAATAAAGGCAAAAAAATGTTAAAGGTTTTTGCCCGTTACACGTTTCTTTAACAATCAATTTTTTAAGGCACGTTCCTACTTGATTTCATTGCCTCACAAGCCGAAGCAACCTTGGTCACGTCTCTATCCAGGAGCAGATCCACGTGCTTTGGATCTCCTCGAGAAAATGTTGACATTCAACCCTCACAACAGGTTCGTTATATGCACTGGGTGCTTCGTAAAATGGTAAAGTTTTTTGAATATCATTTTAATTGGATTTTTGTGTAGACTCATGTGGGCTGCAACACTTTTGTCAAAACATTTCTTCTTCCCATCGTGCATGCCCAGTAACTGCTTATTGTTTGAAACAAAATTTTGTCATTGCCTGCATTAGCATGTGATAATCGTATTACAACGCTTTTTCACTTCTGTTTAGGCGAAGTTTAAACAGCTGTCATTAGTTTCCAAGGTTGTTCTGTGTGCATACCATTTGCTTTCATTACCTCAGATTCCGTCTCATGGGGTAGAACTTTCAGTATATCGGTTCTTTCAGTTATGCGAACTATGGATATTGCGGTTGGCTTTTATCTTTAAAAGTTTTTTTTTCTCGAGATGTTAGGTAATGTGCAAAAGAACGGAAACTTTCTGTGCAGGGACTTTTTTCAGTCATACTGTTGGCTTTCGTTGTAATTTATACAACCTCGCGACTATTACATGCTGATGGCTGTTTCGTGACCATGAGTCCTTTGTAACTAAAATTTGACTCTACTTGTTTGCATATTGCTTTGTATATGGGAACTAGCTGATTAAATAGTCCAACTGTTGGCGCATCAATGATTGCATCTGAAAGGTTGCGTGAGAAATGCTAATACACGTGTTTTGACTAAACAGTAAGTCTTGAAACTGAATCTTCTGTTCATACGTCGGGACTATATATCAACTCATGGCTTCTGAATAACTTTAATGTGTTTCTGGCCTCTCGTACCCTACTTATTTTAGGCGAATGTCGGGGAAAGAGATGGTGAAAAAGCTTGTACTAGTATTCATTCTTTTGAGCTAATTCATTCGTAAAGTTTGAGTTGAATGCGTTGGTGTGGTCATGTACAGAAGTTTATCTACCGTTCTAGGTAAAGTAGGACAGATATCATAAATGCTTCCAAATTTTTCGCAGACCATACGATAAAAATCGAAAGATTACATCTAGTACAGTACCGAACTTTTTGCAAAAATTAAGCTCAGAATCCTGACCTTTGTTGTTGTTGTGATGCCCATAACTCATAAAGTGAATGCATTCTCATTACAGGATTAATATCGAGCAAGCCCTAGCTCATCCCTATCTGGAGCAGTATTATGATCCAAATGATGAGGTGAGCAATCCTTATCCGATTACTGCTTGCTGTAAACAGATATATATATATATATATTTACTTGAATATCATACCAGAGGAAGTTTTTTTACGCCGCTGCAAAGATATATAGTGTTTTTTTTTTGATTTTAAAATCTGATTGCAGCCGGTTTGCGAAGAGCCGTTCACCTACGAGATGGAGCTTGACGATCTGCCGAAGGAGAAACTGAAAGAGTTGATTTGGCAAGAAGCCGAATTGCATCACAAGCGAATGCAAGAAGAAGCCGCGAAGGCAGCTGTACAGTGAGCTTTACCCTTCTCGTTTACTCTATACTCGTTTCTGCCGAGATTCGTGGCGCTGCGACATCTTGGCGGGGACTTTTTCACCGGTGATCTGCCGATCTAGATGATCAGTTCTCTTGTGATCTTTGATCTTTGACGAGCATCCTATCCAGTGAAGACGTGAACATCCTCTTCCTTCTAAACGCCTCGGTTACACTGTGTAGAGTGCTGAGTTGACTTTTGTTCATATGACTCGGTTGTTTGCATTGCTCTGTTACATATCGACTCGTATATTTTTGAGTGATGTTGGTGCAGCGCCCCATTCTGTCCTCCATTCCGCTCTCGTCCTTCATATATATGGTTTTTCGACTTCTTTCTGTAATCTATATTCTACTTTGTGAACTCTGTTCCTCGGCCTCACTCATCTTCTGACATAGCAGAGATTTATTGTACATGTGTTATACTTTATGATGTTGTTTTATAATGTAATGCAGATACATACAAGGTGTTTTTATTGAATTGTTCGTTCTCAAATTTAACAGATCAGATAACTACTTTCACTTGGAAGGGTATTGCCATGGACGGTGCCATACTTAACTTTTATAGAT